ACTCGTTAGCCTGAATATGGCTGCAAGGATGGTACTCTGCTTCGAAGATATTCGTCATTTTATGGACAAAAACTTAGCATGTTTCACCAGAAACGAAGGGTATTACGTCAGTAACAACATCACCAAGAATGTTCCAAAAAAGCCAATCGACAGCAGTCTTCTCCTGGTGGGATCGAGCATCGAATCTCTTCGCCAAATACTTTCATTTGAAATAGACGCAAAGCAATCATGGAACAGGCAATTCATCGAAACCCGAATTTTATTTGCATTTATTTATTGTAGGAAAAACTTTCAATTCGCATGAAAGTAGCTGAGCAAGAGAGAGGACTGCGTCAATATGAACACTACATTTAAGCCAAAAGACTAAAGAACAATGGGATTCGGTCTCCGTCATTAAACGAGATCAGCCATCAGGCACTTTCACATGAAATGAATGTCTCCCCAACAATATTATCATACAATCTGAATTGAAGTCCAGCTACTATTGGTATTTGCCCAAGTTAAACAGTGAAAACCAGCAAACGTGACTTGTGGTATGGTTCGCGGTGAACTCAATCTTAGATGGGCGTCTGTATGGACAAGCCTGCAGGTATCTTGTAACGGACAGGGTATCCGGACGCCTGATGAGCAATACTTGAAGATAGTTGGGATTTCGGTTATGACAAGAGTAATCTGTCGGGAATGTGAGAAGTCAGGCAAGTGAGCTAGAATATTCTGACTTGCCTCTTATCTCAAGCCTCGGGAAGACGATGTCCTAACGTTTGGTGAGCAAAAGTGTACAAAAGAGTGGCTGCATTCATTATCAGAGTCAGAAAATCAACAAAAGTGTTTATTAACAGATATTAAAAAGGTGTAACAGCATGTTAAGGGCATTCGCTCGCATACACTCTTATTATGCTTGGAAAATCTAAATTTAATGTTGTTGATGAGGGTCGTAACGTGGCCTCAGTTCTGTTGAAAGGCCAACATGATGCAACTCACGATTCTTACAAGCTACAGGAGAGTAGCAAAATTTTGACGAAAATAACCTAGATCCGGATTCTTCGAGAACATTTTATGCCGGACGGTGCCTGTAGCGCTGACTTAAGGCTTGAAACGTATATAAGCAAAAATACAGGATTATGTATTTTCTGAAGGGGGCGCGAAATAAATTACCAAGTTTAGATGGAAGTAATTAAAAAAATTCGAGAATGAAAGCGTTCTTATAATCCAATTGAATTAGTATCACTTGGCATTTTGAGCATACGCTTCTCACAGCATACACATTGATTACATCTTCATTTCGTAACAACAATTGAATTAAAGGAATTCGTAACTTTACGGTGTCGGAAACCGAGGGAGGATCGTTTAGCAGATGTGGCTAGCATTTTAGTGTTCTGTGACTTACTCTCTCCGAATCTGATAGGGAATGCCCTCCCACTTTTGTGATGTGTGACAGAGGCAAGTTCATCACGAAGGGATTGAGATCACGGAATATGGCGCTCAAGCTTCTGCTGGTCCGAACTTTAGTTGCAACTGCAAAACAACCCAAATTTTTTTCGGGTGGTGCCAATTTAGAAATGCTTTCTACTCTCTGTTTCAAACAAAATGAAAGTCTCATAATATGGACTAGTTGATAAATTCTTCCCGATCCAGCTTTACTTTACATGACATGTCTCATGCCAATTGACAATTAAGGAGAGTAGATAGGAAATGTGTTTTGCTTACCACCAGTCAAGAGTATCGGTTTCGATTCTGCAAATTCGCCCCAGCCCTGTTTCGCTCTTCCGCGAACCTGAAAATAAAATACAACTCTATTTAGCAACATTCGCATTCCTTGACATGGCTAAAAGGTAAAATAATTACCAAACAATATGTAACGATGCTGGATAATGTCTTAACATAGCTTGGATAGAATCACACTGACAAATGTGGTGACTATTAAAAATGTGTGAAAGTGCTAATGAAGATAGTCAAAAGTCAAACTTATCAAAAGACAGCTGCTATCGTTGCATTTAATTATGCTTACTAATAAATGAAGAATATTTCTATGCAGACTGTTTGGTGGGCAATCGAGAGCACGAAACACTTCATTTTGTCCTAAACATAATTCCTTCCCAAGAAAATATTGTCAGCGGATATAATATATGACAAACAAACTTGATTTTGAAAAATCATGTGGTGACAAGAATATTTATTTCGAATAAAAAGTTGGTTGCAACCAATTTCTTAAATGGTCTCAACAGTAACCGAACCAGGATTGCGTCGGAGTGAAAAATTTTTCGGTTCCCCATCTTCCAACTCCGATG